GCGCCGAGCGCCCCGCCACACAGGTAAGGCCGGGCCGGGCCGACAAGGCGACTGGGGATTCGCGCCGAACCCGGGACTCCTGGGCCCTCGTGGGGTCAGGAGTCGCCTTCTCCGCCCGCCGATGACCTTGGGCGAGTGACTTAGCCATAGGTGTCCGAGCCCGCAGTGTCGTCACCTGTTCAGTGGAGCTAGGATCATAATGTGGGTTTCTCATGCCAGTAGCCTTCCTAACGTGTTTTAAGGTTGTGTGTTGCAGCGGTTGCCGTAGTTTTATTGTTGTTGTTGTTTTGGTGGGGCTTTTTTTTGTTGTTGCTCTTTTTTATTTGCTCTTTGAAACCGGGTCTCGCTATGTAGTTCAGGCTGGGCTCAAACTTGCAGTGATCCTCCTGCTTCAGCCTCCCCGGTGCTGGGACTGCAGGTGTGCACCATGCCCGGCTGATCGTAGTACTTTTGCGAGAGTGATGACCCTCAGACCGGGAGGTGTGATTTACAGCAATGTGGTCTCCAGCCTCGTGATAGCCCAGCTCACTGAGGACCCAGCCCATGGCGCTACAGCCACCTCTTGGGGAGTTGAGAGCTGGCCTGGGTGGTAGCTCAGCTCTGCCCCTTACCCGGAGGCCCCTGGGGTTGGAGGAAAGGGGCCGACTGGGATCCTGGGCGCTGCAAGTCGAGGAGGACACACCCTGGCGCTGTCTGGTGTCCCGTGCCCTGGGGGGGCGCTAGCCGGGGCTTGCACCAGAGTGTCCACTACTCGAGCTCCCCCATCCTCCCCATGTTTGCAGAAGACTCCCCAGAGAAGCCTTTGTTTGGGAATGGGGCCTGGACCTGGGACTACCAGGTTTCAGCCCCCTCCCTCTGCTTCCCCAGCTCTCTCTGTCCAGCCGCCTGCAGCTGACCCTGTACCAGTACAAGACATGTCCCTTCTGCAGCAAGGTCCGCGCCTTCCTCGACTTCCATGCCCTGCCCTACCAGGTGGTAGAGGTGAATCCTGTGCTCAGGGCCGAGATCAAGTTCTCCTCCTACAGGAAGGTGCCCATCCTGGTGGCCCAGGAAGGAGACAGCTCAGTGAGTCTTGGGAACCCTCGCCCCCTCCAGTCCTGGAGCACCCTCAGATCTGGACTGTAGGGACAGCGGAGGCTTGGTGCCTCGTGCAACTTCTGGGGCCCTCAGAGCTGAGGTGGGGGCATTGCAGGTGCTGTGCCTCCCTGTTAGCCGCACTTGGTCACCCTGATCAGGACCAGACAGGTGGAGACAGGCTCAGCAGGCGTTGGTTTGGGGACAAGCCCTCAGGATGGTTGCACAGTACCTGGGCTCCATACAGTAACCTGAAGTGCCCACGCATAGGAGCCCATGCCAATCCTGTCAGCCACATCTAGAACTTTGGATCCAAAGCCGGGCATAGTGGTGCACACTTGTAGTCCCAGCACTTGGGAGGCTGAGACAGGAGGATCGCCACAGGTTGGAAGCCAGCCTGAGCTACATAGTGAGTTCAAGGCCAGTTTGAACTACAGAGTGAGATCCTGACCCAGAAACCAAACGTCTCTTCCAGCAACAACTGAACGACTCCTCCGTCATCATCAGTGCCCTCCAGACCCACCTGGTGTCCAGGTAAGGACCATGGGGTCTTGTCCCCCAAGGAGGCCTCCTGGAGCTGCTGTGAGGTGTCCGGGTGTGCGGGGACGTGCTGGCCCGAGCCCTCCCTTTTTCCGCCCCCATTGGGAAAGTCTCCCGGTGTGTAACCCAGGTCCTCTTGCTGCAAGAGGGCAGACTCTTTGGGGTACAGTCAGGTGGCCCTGGGGACAGGAAGTAGACGACTGTGGTGAGATTCTGACTCCCTCCGAAGGCAGCCCCTGGATGAGGTCATCTCCTACTACCCAGCCATGAAGGCCCTGAATGACCAGGGCAAGGAGGTGACCGAGTTCTGTAACAAGTACTGGCTCATGCTGGACGAGCAGGAAGCCCGGCGCATGTACGGCGGGAAGGAGGCCAGGACGTGAGTGAGGCCGGGGCGGCAGCGCAGGGCCCCCGGGGCAGGAGCCGAGCTCTGCTCCTGACACCCCAGGACCCACCGCGCCACTCCCGCACCCACAGGGAGGAGATGAAGTGGCGGCAGTGGGCCGACGACTGGCTGGTGCACCTCATCTCGCCCAACGTGTACCGCACGCCAGCGGAGGCCCTGGCCTCCTTCGACTACATCGTCCGCGAGGGCAAGTTCGGGGCCGTGGAGGGCGCCATGGCCAAGTATGTGGGCGCGGCAGCCATGTACCTCATCAGCAAGCGCCTCAAGACCAGGTGATGCACGCGTGTGTGCACGCGGGCCTGGGTCTGCCGCCCCCAGGCCCGAGGGGCAGGAGGGCA